GGTACTGGGCCTGGGGGTGCTGAGCCTAGAGGTGCTGAGCCGCAGAGTCCGGAGTCTGGGGGTTCTGAGTCTGGAGGTGCTGAGCGTGGGAGTCCTACACCTGGAGGAGCCCTCTCCTCGGAGCGGCTGCGTGAGTGGTACTAACACTACTACAGCCTCCGGAGAGGTACCTCTGGAGCCAGGCGTACTACTGGGACTGGTGCTAGTGCTTCTCCTCCCAGTCGGGAGCTCCCCTCCCGTGAGCGGATCCGTGAGTGGTACGAGCGGCGCTGCACGCTTCGGAGTGGCGCGCCTGGTGTCGCGGACCCCGCTGCTCCTGGTGGTGCTGCTGGTGCTGGAGACTCTGCTGGTGCTGCGGACCCGGGCGTTGGAGCTATGGCTTGTGCTGAGGACCCGGGCGCTGGTGCTGCTGCTGGTGCTGAGGACCCGGGCGTTGGAGCTGCTGCTGGTGCTGAGGACCCGGGCGTTGGAGCTCCTGCTAGTGCTGCGGACCCGGGCGTTGGACCTGCTGCTGGTGCTGCGGACCCTAGCGCTGGTGCTGCTGCTGGTGCTGTGGAGTCGAGTGCTGGAGCTGCTGCTGGTGCTGAGGACCCGGGAGTTGGAGCTCCTGCTGGTGCTGAGGACCCTGGCCCTGGTGTCTGTGCTGGTTCTGGAGTCGCTGCACGGCAGCGGCCGTACTTCGTTCCGCTCCTTCAGCAGGTTCTTGGTCAGCTCCCTCCTCCTTGTCCTCCTCCCTCCTTAAGGTGTCCTCCGTCTGTCCAGGTGCAGTCGCAGCTTCCGTCTCCCTCCTCTCTCCCTGGTCCTGCTCCTTACACTGGTCCGACTAGAGGTCTTACTGAGCGTCGTGAGCCTGAGTCTCGTCCTGTGTCGCCTGAGTCTCGTCGTGCGTCGCCTGTCCGTGCTGCTCTCACTGGCAGTCGTGTCCCTCGTCAGCGTCTTCCTGCTGTCCCAGGAACTCACCGGATGGCGCTTCGTCCTTCCACTGCTCCACAGCGTGTCCCACTGCCATCTCCTCCTGAGTCCTCTCTTCCTGCTGTTGCTGACCCGGGGTCAGACTCCCTTCGTGCTGCCAGTCCTACTGTCACGCGTCTCCTGGCTACTGTTGTCACTGACCCTTCTTTTGAGTCCGCTGCTGCGTCCGCCTTAGTTGCTGAGCTTGTCGACTTTGCTGCCACCTGTCGTCTAGACTACACCGCTAGCCTAGTTGCTGAGTCTGAGTCTGTCTGTCCTCCGTCCGTTGGTGGTGAGTGTGCCCTTGGCACGGACGTCCTTGAGGACAGGCAGGAGGAGTTCCAGTGCTTGGCCGCTGCTTCACCTCATCTCGTGTCCGTACTGCTTACCCCTGAGGGAGACCCGGATGCACTTGACATCCCGACTCCGCGCTCTTACGCGGAGGCGATAGAGGGTCCCTACTCTTCTCAGTGGCAGGCAGCTATGGATGCAGAGATGGCTTCCTGGAAGTCCACAGGCACCTACATTGACGCTGTCCCCCCTCCTGGGGCGAACATCGTCAGTGGCATGTGGATCTTCATGGTGAAGCGGCCGCCGGGTTCTCCGCCTGTCTTCAAGGCGCGTTACGTGGCTCGTGGCTTCAGTCAGCGGCATGGAGTTGACTACTTTCAGACCTTCTCCCCCACCCCGAATATGACTACTCTTCGGGTACTGCTGCACGTTGCTGCTCACCGTGACTACGAGCTACACTCTCTCGACTTCAGCACAGCTTTCTTGCAGGGCAGCCTGCACGAGGAGATCTGGCTGCGCCGCCCACCTGGCTTCACTGGGTCTTTCCCTCCTGGCACCCAGTGGAGTCTCCGGCGTCCAGTCTACGGTCTCCGCCAGGCGCCACGTGAGTGGCACGACACACTGAGGACTACGCTTGCGGCTCTTGGGTTTGCTCCTTCTACTGCCGACCCGTCGCTGTTTCTGCGCACCGACACCTTCAGCCTTGGTTCCGGCTCTGTTTCGTGGCGGGCTACTCGCTCGTCTTCTGTTCTCGGCTCCAGTTGTGAGGCTGAGATCTACGTTGGGGCCATGGCTGCACAGGAGCTTCGCTGGCTCACCTACCTTCTGACCGACTTTGGAGAGCAGCCTCGTTCTCCTCCAGTCCTATACGTAGACAACAAGGCCATGCTGGCCTTGTGTCGAAAGCAGAGACTGGAGCACAGAACAAAGCACATTGCTCTTCGCTACTTCCTTGCTCGTGAGCTACAGCAGCGTAGACAGTTGCGACTTGCTTACGTGGCCTCTGAGGCCAACACTGCTGATGTCTTTACCAAGGCACTTGCGCCTTGTAATCATCAGCGCTTCTGCAGGCAGCTGGGTCTTGTGCCTGTCTTGCCTCACTTGCTCACCTCTTTACCTTGCTTGTCAGTTGCATATATATATACCTGCTCTTGCTTGTCTAGCCTTATATATATATGTACTCGTGCATGTGAACTAGCCTTGTGGCCTTGAACTTGTGCTCGGAATGTGTGGTGACGTTGTGATCCACCTTGAGCTTGCTTTGCTTTGCTTTACTTGACTGGTCTTGTGACCCCTAGTTCTCCCCCACTTCGCCTATGGGGGTGTGTCAAACATTATATATGTTGTGCTTGTTTAGGCTATAGTGGGTTAGCCTATAGGGGGTACACAATTCTAGGGTTAGGTACTTGTACTGCTTTCACTGTTAGTTCAACCATCCTCGTTCTATTCTAAGATTCCAACAATGGCTAGCTAGGTCTATTCGAATTCCCCGGTACTCATATTTATATCTTTGTATTTGCATGCTTTAATCATCTGAAGCATTTTACATTCACTCTGCTATTGAGGTCAAGGGCCCACCACCAACCACCTAGCTGTGTGCGAACCTTCCTGAGGAGATCCTAGGAGCGATCACGTTCTGATCGTAGCACTAACAAGTGAGGACCAGAAGGAATAAGGCTAAGCTGGATACACAACCGATTATGATCACAAGACAGAAGTGCCTTGGTGAAGATACCGTATGTGTTGGCCTCTCAGGCCAGAATAACCAAGCTTGCATAGTTGCATATTTGCAACTCACACATGAGAAAGTACCGTAGATAGCCTCAACTCCTGACAACAAGGATCATGGCCTTGTTGATAGCGAACAAGATTGAAGCTGAGCTAGGCGCCTCAGCTATGTGAGCGAGGAAGAAGGTCAGCCACCGGCAACAGACGACGCCCGTGTCGACCTCCACGACACATTTCTAGAGCCCAAGCTAAAGCAGTAGCCATGGGACGGCCTGCCTTTTGTCCTGATACATTCCTTTTTTGTGACGCGAGATTGACAAAATGTTTCTTCTCGACTCGGGAAAAAGGGGATTGAGACACAAATGTCCAGGCAGGAATGTACCCTAAGCACATATGCGTGCCCTTTCTTATCCAAAGGCCCGGGTCAACATCGTATAAAAATATATATATTCATGTGCTACTGTATTAAATACACATGCTTGCAAACTGAGCTTTTTATCACACCCTTAAAATAGACTAGACGCCTCAATCATGGGTCCTTACCATACCGTATGTATGGCAAAAAGACAACAAATACTAATTTAGCCAAATGCCATATCAAATGCTTATAAACGATACTGGTGTGCATATGTGTTGTATAAAACCTGTCTGTTCTGAACCCAGGCTTATTATTAGCGAACAAGCTTGGAACGAGAATGAGTTCTCTCAAAACCGAAGCTTGAGGCCGTATCCACCAGCAGTGATGGACTCCAGTTGTTCCCAGAGGGAACCAGATTTTAGCGCTGTCCTCAGGCTGCTGCTTGCTGTGATTCGCCCTTTGCCTGGCACCGACACCAGCATGCAATTCTGTTTTTTTTTTTGCCCGCGGGCAGCGAGCTCATCCGGGCGGGGTCGCTTGTCGGCTGAGCTACACTGAGCCAGCCCCACCTTCTCTTCCACCCCACATTCAGTAGCTGTTGTGTATGGGCAATGGGCATAGCACTGCAGATTTCCGACTGTTTTTTTCACGTGTCATCACATGACTTGTCCCATCAAACAATGGGCCTCTGGCCATCTTACAGAAACGGATGAGCCAATGGCTCGAGACCATGGCGGATTGGCCATCTTGCACAGACATGGCGAAATCTTTCACGAGTGCAGTATACAACTATCAAATCCGTCCGCGATCTCTGTCCGCTCATCAAATAGTAGGCGTTTCTATAAATAATATCGAAAACCGCCAGCTGTTTCTTGAGTATACAGTACACACCATGCTGTCGAATCGGTCCGCGTTTTGCGCCGGCTTCCCGAATCTCGTTCTTCTGTGTCCATTCGTCGCACCGGAGCTCGACGAGCAGGAAGGAAACGCGCGAGCTGGAAAAGAGCAAGCGGAGGACGAGCGGAAACGCCGCTGGAGGACGAGCGGAAAAACGCCAGGAGAGAAGAGACGCTGTAATGGTTGATTTACGATACCGTACAGTCGCATGCATGGGAACAAGTAGTGTCGTGGCGGCGACTAAACGCTGACGAACCACCGAAGTTCAGACGGCTCCTATTACGGTGGCTCCTAAGTTCCACGTTACTACAGCACATGCCAAGCGGCCACATTGGCGGGAACGTACGGCAATGCTGCCTGAAGACTGCCTAGCGCGCCATGCCCGACCTGACAATGCTAGTAGTGTTGGCGATCCCGCACCGCGTACCAGTGTTACTACTATTGGAAGCAGAGTTGTCAGGCTTGTACGGGTAGTGGAAGTCGATAGATTCGAGCGATCTGACCTGGTGTCGCTTCGTAATAGACATGATGCGCGATCTATTAGTTCTCGATGTTCGGTGGCGAATGCGAACGCGAATGCGACTGCGACTGCGACTCCTACTGCGACTGCGACTGCGACTGCGACTGCGAATGTGACTGTGACTGCGACTGCGACTGCGACTGCAGGTGCGTCACGAATCACTGCGACGACACGACTTGTCGCGACATCATCAAGGCCGGTTCGCCAGTTACCACTACGTGCGACTCAAACCGCCGTCGTCGCCATCGTCGCAGCATGCCTGCTCGCAGCGTTCGCAGTGTCGTCGAGCGACGGTCTCCCGATTCGCGAGTCGCAGAGTGAGTCTCTCTCGCCCTCCCCAGCCCGCCGCGCCGCCCACCCCACCCCTCTCATTCTCCCACACCCCACCCTTGCGTTGCGTCGCGTCGCGTCTCGGCCTTGCCGCGGAAGCGCCTCAAAGACACGCCACCGTCGGATTTCCTCGATATTAGCTCATTCTTCCGAGTAATTGCCATCCAGGTTTTGCTGGTAACCCACCCACGGCCCCCTTTTCCCCATCACCCCTCACTCCCCCTCTCTCTCTTCCCTATCCACACTATTCCCCCACCCACATCCCTCCCCCGTTCCCCCTCCCCTCCCTCTCGTTCCCCATGTCGGCATTCCCAGGGATCGCGCTGAACGTGATTCTGAGCCAGCGGCAGGCCGTGGGGGGCCCGTCATCAGGGGGAACGGGCAGCGGCAGCGCGGGTGGCAATGGCAATGGGACGAGCGGGGGCGTGGAGGTGGAGGACGATTGCGACCTTATAAGGGAGATAGAGTGTGACGCGCAGGGATACGTGACCTCACTGTACGTTTAAGATAGTGAAGACTCCAAGTGTTCGTTCTTGTGAGCTTTATGTGTCGAACATTGCTTGCCTTGGCTTGGTTTCGTCTGGTCCGCCTGGCAATATCTGAGTCGCTTTTGAAGATTCTCAGTAGGGCCTCTCTCTCAACTGTCAGCATTCACCCTCCTGGCGCTCTGTTACAACCACGGCTAGTTAGGTCTTCTCGCGTTACACGTGAGATGAGTCGATTTTTTAGTCGACTCTTGAGTCGATTTTTGAGTCGACTTAGAAATCGACTCAGCTGTCAGCATTCACCCTCCTGGCGCTCTGTTACAACCACGGCTAGTTAGGTCTTCTCGCGTTACACTCTCTCTGCAAATGTTGGTTACCGCTAGCAGGATGTCGTATATTCATGCGTGTCGGATACCATATCCGTTTTTTATAGTGCTAATATTGTATGTTTATGCATGCCGGGATACCATATCCGTCTCGCTGCTAGACACAAGGCGAGCTCGCGGCACGCGGAATTGCTCTCTCCTCCTGCAGCAAGCTCGTGTCCTGTCGTGTGCATACTCTCCTGCAGCAAGCTCGTGCCGTGTGCACGCTCTCCTGCAGCAAGCTCGTGTCCTGTCATCGTGTGCATGCTCTCCTGCAGCAAGCTCGTGTCCTGTCATCGTGTGCATGCTCTCCTGCAGCAAGCTCGTGTCCTGTCATCGTGTGCATGCTCTCCTGCAGCAAGCTCGTGTCCTGTCATCGTGTGCATGCTCTCCTGCAGCAAGCTCGTGTCCTGTCATCGTGTGCATGCTCTCCTGCGGCAAGCTCGTGTCCTGTCATCGTGTGCATGCTCTCCTGCAGCAAGCTCGTGTCCTGTCATCGTGTGCATGCTCTCCTGCAGCAAGCTCGTGTCCTGTCATCGTGTGCATGCTCTCCTGCAGCAAGCTCGTGTCCTGTCATCGTGTGCATGCTCTCCTGCAGCAAGCTCGTGTCCTGTCATCGTGTGCATGCTCTCCTGCAGCAGGCTCGTGTCCTGTCATCGTGTGCATGCTCTCCTGCAGCAAGCTCGTGTCCTGTCATCGTGTGCATGCTCTCCTGCAGCAAGCTCGTGTCCTGTCATCGTGTGTAAGCTCTCCAGAAAGCCGCCCGCCCTGAGCGCCTGGAACCCAAGCGAATGTCATGCGTCCACTCATCCTCATCCTCATTCTCACCACAGAACCGTCTCCTCTTCCGTACCCATCCCCCCTGTTCCGTCTGTCCTCCCTCCGTCTGCTTCGGTTCCTCTCTGCTTCGGTTCCTCTCTGCTACAGAAAGCTCGTGTCCATGCTCTCTCTTCCTCAGGAGGTTCTGTCTCTCGTGCGCCTGCAAGCCCTGTGAGCATGCCATCCATCCTTCCTTTCTGCTGCCTGCTCTGTGCCACTCACTGCTCACTCGGAAATCCCCATCGGACCCATGGGATTCACATGGAAAGGAGAGGGTGTTTCGGACTCATGGACTTTTCAAGGAGACGTTTGTTCTGCCTGCACGATGAGACCGCTGTGCTGTTCCTTCTCCCCTGATCCGGTCCGGACGCATTCTAAAGCTTCTTTCTGATTTGCCGTTAACTTAACCCAAAAGGCACCTCAAATCTCAACCTGACTCGTTCCCTCTTCTCCGCTGCTCACATGCTTCTTCGTCCATTCCACCCACCCACCCACCCGCATGCCAACCATTCCCTCTGTGCTCTCATCTGCCAAACCACCTCCCTCACCTTTGAGAGGCACTCAGCTTAGAATCCAACCCGCCTCTTCCCGTTATACCTTTCTCCCCTGCGCACAGGCGGCTCGCTTCCTCTTCCACTCCACCCATCCGCATGCCAAGCATTCCCTCTGTCATCGGCCAACTCACCTCCCTCACCTCACTGTACGATCCCTCCTCAACCCATCTGCTTCACTGTACGATCCCTCCTCAACCCATCTGCTTCACTGTACGATCCCTCCTCAACCCATCTGCGCCACTGCACGCCCAGCCCAACCACTCTGTGCTTGCTGCAAGCCGTGTTTTTTGTAACCATCGTAAGCAAAATGGCCGTACTTCTGGCTGCTGTATATGCTGCTGCATGCTCATAGATCGTGTCTTTGTAACCTCCACTCCACCGGTAAGTCATCTTTCATCTCTCCACCTCGACATCTCTCCTCCATCCATCATTATCCCTGCATGCACCATCAACGTTCTCTCCCAATCCCCACCACCGACTCAAACCACTCTGAGCCGACGTTCTAGGGTAAATCGTTCTGTGCGTTACCAACGTTTTATGCAGTCATTTAGGGTCACCCTTGTGATGCTCTAGTCTCGTCCTCTCTCCCTCCCTCTCCACCATCGCTGCAGGGAAATCTCCAACTCACTCGCGGCGGGGGGATCATTCCCTGCATTCATGTCCCAACTGAAGCTACTCAAATTACTGTGAGGCTCGAATACCTGTGAGGGAAGGGAAATGGGATAGTGAGGGCTTGTGAGGCAATGCACCCCCCCTTCTTTGCAGACCTCAATCCGTTGCTTGCCATGGGGTAATGCATGCACCCCCTTCTCTGCGCATCTACTACCCCCATGTGAACCTCCTCTCCCATCCACCCCCTTTCCTTTTCTGAATCGGAGCCAATCCTTGTGAGGCAACGCACCCTCTTCTCTGCAGACCGTGATCAGTTGCGCCCTCTTTGCTGTCTGTCACTCTCTCTCATGCCTTTTGAGGCGCCTCAAAAGTCGCCCTCTTTGCTGTCTGTCACTCTCTCTCATGCCTTTTCTCGCCCGGTCTGCTATGCTCACCTGTCTGTCCGCATCTGTTATTATCCCCATCTGTTATTATCCCCGTCTGTTATTATCCCCATCTGTGATTATCCCCATCTGTTATTATCCCCGTCTGTTATTATCCCCATCTGTGATTATCCCCATCTGTTATTATCCCCGTCTGTTATTATCCCCATCTGTTATTATCCCCATCTGTTATTATCCCCATCTGTTATTATCCCTATCTGTTATCATTTCCATCTGTTATTTTCCCCATCTGTTATTATCCCTACCCGATCCACCACCAGTAGTCTGGACGGCACTATCTTGTCTACCCCATTCAATTCCCCTCTTCTTAGATTGAGTCGACTCAAAACGCTCATCCAATCCTCCTCTTTTCTCCCACATCCACACCTCTCTCTCCCTCTAAACGCGGGCACCACCAGGAGTCTGGACGGAACTACCTTGTCCAGCACCATTCCCCACTTCTTCTCCCGTCTCACTTCCTTGACACGCCTGTAAGTCCTCTATCATTTGTTTGCTAGCAATTGTCGCAAAGACTTCGCCCATCACTATGCCTTGATGAACAAAGACAAACCAAAGACTCTTCGTTTGACAGACACTTGTGATGTGTCAAGGCATAGAGACAGCACAGGCCCTCTATTTTTGAATTCTCTCTAGTTTTGAGGCGCCTCAAAACTAGGTCCCTCTTAAGGATAGTGTCTCTAGAAGGGCACTCACAGCTGCGTGATGCGGTTTGTGAGTTCTCCTCTTCTTCTTGTCTTGTACCCCCCTTATGCTCCTGTCGATGTGCCTTTATGCTGCCTGTGAGCCCGTGAGAACTCTCATGAGTGATTCCGCTTGGTTTGATTGAGGCACAGCAAGCGAGTCACCCGTTCGTTGTTTGATTTTCGTCTGGTTTGTATCTCTCTCCTGCTGTTAGCATCTCTTTTCATTCCACACCACCTCACTCCACTCCACTCCACTCCACTCCACTCCACTCCACTCCACTCCACACCACACTACATGACACCACTCATCCGCACTCTCCGCTTTATTCCACTGCACCACTCTCCACTCCTCCCGTCCCCTTTCCGCAGGGAACTTACACGGGTGGGCCTCTCCTCCTCGCTGCCCTCGGGCTTCTCGCGCCTCACCAACCTCATCATGCTGTGCGTGCCTCTCGAGTCTCAACCCCTACCTAGCTAGCTAGCACCGTACCCACCAACCTGCTCTTCCTCGCTGCCTGCTGGCTTCTCGCGCCTCACCAACCTCATAATGCTGTGCGTGCGTCCTTGCTTTGGCTTCTTCCCACCACTAGCTGGTAGCAGTACCACCTCCCCCCCCCACCCCTTCCCGCCACCCCACACACCCGATCACCTGTTTCTCCTCCCAGAGTTTATGGCAACACAAAAAGCCAGTGAATGCTTTTGCACAACGTTAAAACCTAACCCTTAGATCCTAACCCTTCAATCCTTACCTAACCCTTGCCTTTCCAGTCCTCTCCTTCGTTCCCTCTTGCCTACCTTTGGTCTCCCAGCAATCGTCCTTGCAACAATCCCACCCTTCTCTCCCTCCTTCCTTTCCACCTTCCTCTCCTTCCCTGATCCGCCCCTTTCATCCCCCTCCCCCTTTCACTCCCCTTTCCCCCTCGCTTTCCCCCGTCACCCCCTCTGTTCCGCCCTCCCATCCCATCCCATCCCATCCCCCCTGCACTCCCTCCGATCTCTCCCCGGCAGCATTCTTCCCGGCAACAATCTCACCGGCTCGCTCGCTCCCCTCGCTGGCGTGAAGCGCCTGCAGCACCTGTGAGTCATGTCAAGAAACCTGCAGACATTATTTACTCGACTGAAGAAACAGTCAAGAATAAGGCGCATTTTGAGGCGACGACTTTGATTTGTTGCCCTTGTTCTTGGAGCCGACTTAAAAGTCAAGAAACTCTCAGCAGCTGCACTTTCCCTTCTCATTATGCTCACCATGACATGTCCACACTCCACCACACTCACCCACAGTGATGTGTGGTCACAATTGGCATTGCCACCTGTCCACTCATCCAATGCTCACCTTGCTGGCCCCTATGATGTGCCATATGCTGCCATGTGGGCTGTTGTTCCAGCCTGGCCCACATGTGCAACATGAGGCCTCACTTGCTAGCTTGGCAAGGTTGGCTAGCCTTGCCCTCAGCTTTGAGGTGCTGCAGCTAGCCTCAAGAGTTCAGCCATATATATGTGGCTTCCTCCTTCACTAGTACTCATCCTTGGACAAGGACCTTGCTCTAGTCTCTATGACTTGTACCATCTTCCTTTCTTCCTCCGTTTGTGCCCTTAAGTTCACCGATCCACTTTCTACACTTTCTTTCTTTCTTTTGCCCTTGTCCACACATGGTTCGTCTTCCTCCTCATGTTGCCAGCCCTTGCCCTCCGCCTTCCATCTTCCCCCATTGTTTGCATTCCCTCCCAGTTGACACACTTTTCCTTCACTTCGTTGCATTCCCTCCCTGTTGACGCACATCTCCCGCTCTTCGATCCCCCCCTCCCACTCACTCCACGTGCAGCAACGGCATTCACAATCGCTTCTCTGGCAGCATCCCATCGACCATCAGCCGCCTCGTAGACCTCTCTTATGTGTAAGTGGCGTGGCGGACACTGCTGCTGCTGCTGCTTCAGGGTATGGGAGTGGCCGCTGCTGCTGCTGCTGCTGCTGCTGCTGATGTACCTGTGAGTTGTTGTTCCATCTAAAATCGAATTGTCTTAGTATAGTCGTAGTGAGGAGGATGGCAGGGAACGGCTCTGCCTTCTTCCCGTCTTCCCTATCCTCTTCTTTCTCCCCACTACCGACCCAGCTGGCTAGACAACAGCACCATCACCCTAAACCCTAAACCCTGCCACTGGTCCCCCAAACTAGACCCGAAACCCTGCCACCGGTCTCAATCCCTCTCTCTTGCGTGCCGTTTTCCTGTCCTCTTTCTCCCAATCCTCAATTCTCCCCCCGTTGCCGACCCCAGCTGGCTGGACAACAACACCATCACCGGCTCCCTTCCATCCTCCATCTCCAAACTCCAAAACCTCTTCTTCGTGTGAGCCTGTGCCTCATGCATTGTGCCGTGCCTCATGCATTGTGGGGTGCCTCATGCATTGTGGGGTGCCTCATGCATTGTGCCGTGCCTCATGCATTGTGGGGTGCCTCATGCATTGTGCCGTGCCTCATGCATTGTGGGGTGCCTCATGCATTGTGCCGGGCCGGGCCTCATGCATTGTGCCGTACCTCATGCATTGTGCCGTGCCTCATGCATTGAGGTGTGTCCATGAATTGTGGTGTGTCCATGAATTGTGGTGTGTCCATGAATTGTGGTGTGTCCATGAATTGTGGTGTGTCCATGAATTGTGGTGTGTCCATGAATTGTGGTGTGTCCATGAATTGTGGTGTGTCCATGAATTGTGGTGTGTCCATGAATTGTGGTGTGTCCATGAATTGTGGTGTGTCCATGAATTGTGGTGTGTCCATGAATTGTGGTGTGTCCATGAATTGTGGTGTGTCCATGAATTGTGGTGTGTCCATGAATTGTGGTGTGTCCATGAATTGTGGTGTGTCAATATGCATATGCATTGTGGTGGTGTGTCTTATTTGTCATCACCTTTGTGTAAACACCACTTACCTGCCATGCGTGAAACTTATTTTTCTGTCATGGCCTTACATGCGTTCAGCCTTCTTCAGACCAGTTTTTATGCTGCACTGCTCTGTTACTCACCACTCACCACTCATCACTCTTCTTCACCTCTCACCACTCACCACTCACTTCTCACCACTCACCACTCACCACTCACCACTCACCACTCCCTTCTCACCACTCACCACCCATTCCAGGAGCATGCAGGTCAACCGGCTCACAGGCAGTCTGCCCCGGGCCATCGGGGGTCTCTCTAACTTGGAAGGCCTGTGAGTTTCTAGTTTTGAGCTTTGAGGTGTCTCAAAACGCAAGGCCTGTGAGTTTCTAGTTTTGAGCTTTGAGGTGTCTCAAAACGCAAGGCCTGTGAGTTTCTAGTTTTGACAACAACACCATCACCAATTCACTGCTCCCCTGCCATCCTCCACACGTAGATCTCCCTTTCTCCTGCCTGCCCCATATCCCGTTCCTCTTTCTCCCCATCCTCGACCCCCCACCGCCATCCCCAGCTGGCTGGACAACAACACCATCACCAGCTCCCTTCCAGCCTCCATCTCCAAACTCCAAAACCTCGCCGTCCTGTGAGTCTGTTGCTGCCTCGTGCATTGTTCTGTTCTGTGCTGTGCTATCTGCCCAGTGCGTGCGTGCGTGCAGTGGTGCCCCTGTGGGTTTACATCTGCACGCATTATGCTGTGTTGCGCTGCGCCGCTGTTGTGATCATTGGCCATTGCGTGGCGCGCATTGCTCGTCGCACGCACACTGCTCATTGCAATCGCTCATCGCCCATCACTCATCAACACTCATCACCACTCATCACCACTCATCATTGTGACAAAGATTGAAGAAGAACCGATCGCTTGATTAGGAAGTATGTGGGTTTACATAGTTGAGCTAGGATGGAGGTATGGTTGGAAACCTTGCCAACATTATTGGCCCCCACCAATGAGTTGGGTTGAGGAGTTAGTTTGCGCATCACCCATTGCTCATGGCAGGAGCATGGAGTTCAACCGGCTTTCAGGCAGTCTGCCACAAGCCATGGGGGGGCTCTCTAGCTTGCAAGGCCTGTGAGAACTGCCTTCCTTCTCTCCGCATTCCCTGCTTATTGATTGCAAACAAGGTCGGTTGGTTTGGCTTGTTTAGCACCGCAGCAGCTCACTGGAAAATGTCAGAGGATCTTTCCTACTTGATGCATAAATAAAGTCAGCTTCCAAGAAATTCTCAAAATTGCCAGAGGATCTTTTCTTCAAGAAACGCGTTCTTGATTTGTAAAAGCTTCTCCCTTCGTCTGTTCCCTTCGAGCCATCCTCTTCCATCGCACTCTCTCTCTCCCCTGTGGTCCCCTGTATGCTGCCCTTATCTATCGGTCCATCGCAGTGACCTCTCGCAGAACAGCATCTCAGGGTCACTGCCATCTACCATGGGCAATCTGAGGCTTCTCCGCTATATGTATGTCTCATTCACTCTCCTTGCCTATCATACTTTGTTTTTTTCATCCCTTCAATCCGTTTACCTACCTCACCTTTTGTAGTTCCTTGTAGGTCTCTATTGTACCTGATTAACGTCTTACTTACTGTTTTACACTAATCCTCTCAGCTGCATGTGGGTCGCCTTCACTCCGTTTTCCTACCTGCTATGCTGCTAAGCGTGTGCGGCAACGGAGTGATACTGTGATAGGGCCATGCCTTCTATGCTATGGTTCCAAGTTGATCTCATTCCAGTCTTGCATTGCATCGCATCGCACGGCATGGCACGGCATGGCACGGAATGGCATGGCATATGGCATGGCATGGCATGGCATGGTTGTTGTGTGGCACATCACATCACATCATGGCATGGCAGGCGAGCCGACAACAACAGCATCACTGGATCCATCCCTCTCTCCTTCTCCTCTCTCACTACTCTCTCCTTCCTGTCAGTCATTTCACATCCGCACTCTGGACAGTGCTGCCATTTCCATGTGTGTTGCGCTGGTGCCAGTTGGGTTGGGCCAATCGTTCGTTTCCTCCCACCACTCCTCATAAGTGGTTGGGCCAATCAAAGTGTTACATGATAATGGGCCTTCCTTTCCCGCTTCTTGATTTCTCCTCTGCTGCCCACACGCCAAGTGCCCACATACCATGTGCCCACCAGCTCCCCCACACGCACAAATCACTGTAAATGAGTCTCATTATCTCATTCCGCTCACTTCCCTTCCGCCCATATGTCTGCCCTCCTCTCCTTCCATTACTCGTCCCGCTTTGCCCCTTGCTGCTCCCTCGCTCTGCCCTCACTGGCTCTCATCAGCTCCTTCCAGCGCAACGGGCTGCATGGCAACATGTCCTCCTTGCCTTGCACTTTCCTTCTTATCCTATCCTCTCCCCACTCTGCTGCTCACTCTGCTCCTCACTCCGCCCCTGTGTGCCTCCTCACGGTGTCTCATCAGCTCCATCCAGCGCAACCGTCTGCACGGCAACATGCCCTCCTTCCTCGCCTCCTTGCCACGCCTGCAGTACATGTGAGCAGCAGATTTCCGTAAAAAAAAAAAAAAAAAAAAAAAAAAAAAAGAGAACTCGAACGCAACGTGGAAATATGTGAGGATCTTTTGTCTCGTTGCCACGTGTGTGGCACGTGTGATGTGATCGCTGATAGAAGCATCCCCTAAGACACCGTCACTCACTTCCACACCTGCATGCCAAGCACTATACTTCTTTTGAGTCGACTCAAAAGCACGTGTGATCACCGATAGAAGCATCCCCTGAGACACCATCACTCACTTCCACACCTGCATGCCAAGCACTATACTTCTCCATACGTGATTGATATGGTTTGAGAGTTACCAGCCCTACCACCACCCCCTCCTCTCCTCCTCCAACTGACCACCCTCTCCACTGCTCTTTCTGAGGCGCCTCAATAATTATGTTATATTTGATTGATAAACTCCAAGTAACCACATCCCACTTGTAGTTCCAAGCGACCACCCGCTCGAGGACACTCTAGCAACCAAATTTGGTGACTTGCCCCGCTCTCCAACCCCCTCTTTTATTCCCCCTCTCTCCAACCCCCTCTTTTATTCCCCCGCTCTCCATCCCCCTCTGCACCGCACCCCACTGTTGATTCCTTCTCTCCGCACCCGCCCTCTGCTTATCGCCCTTCACCCATTCCCATATTCCCACTACTTCCCCATCCGTCCACTCACCATCCCCCTATGCGACACCCCTGCGCCACCAGCTATCTCAACCATAACAGCCTCAGTGGCTCTCTGCCAACCAACTTCGCAAACTTCTCAGTCCTTCATACCCTGTAAGCCGTCATACCCTGTAAGCCGTCATACCCTGTAAGCCGTCATACCCTGTCTGTAAGCCGTCATACCCTGTAAGCCGTCATACCCTGTAAGCCGTCATACCCTGTAAGCCGTCATACCCTGTAAGCCGTCATACCCTGTAAGCCGTCATACCCTGTAAGCCGTCATACCCTGTAAGCCGTCATACCCTGTAAGCCGTCATACCCTTAAGAACGCCAAGCCCCCTCTGCCCCCACTGCCCACCGTCTTTTACAGCCTGTAGTCTCTCCTCCTCTCGTGAGACGCCTCAAACCTCTCTGTCTAGCACATTGTGAGTGGGGTTCCTCATACAACTTTTTAGTCAACTTATAAATCGGTTCTTCTGGCGTCTCAAAAATCGTCTCCAGGATCCCACCTAGCTAAAAGGCTCAGACGGCGCCTCTCTGGCTGTCAAGCACATGTTGGGCGGGGTTCGGTTCGTGCAATCCTGCCCTTCTGTGTGCAATCCTGCCCTTCTGTGTGCTCTCACTCTCCGCTCTGAGCTTGTGAGGTAGCTTCTTCTGCCGTCTCCTTGTTACAACTTCTGATGGGCTTCCCTCAAGAGTGACAAAGAAATCACTTGCTCCGCTCGCTCACTCGCTCTCCTGCACAACGAACCCGTTGACCAGCAATTGTCTCCCTCCGTCCCTCACTCTCCATTGTCCTTTCTCTCTCCCTCCTTTCCCTATCTCCACAGGAGCCTCTCCAACAACCTGCTTCAGGGCTGCATACCACCTTCCATTGCGCATGCTCCCAAGCTGAAAAACCTGTCAGTGATCTTTCAACCTCCACTGCAAACCGCTTCTTAGACCGCACTGTTCCCACCCTCTCTCTTCCCACCCTCTCTGTTCCCACCCTCTCTCTTCCCACCCTCTCTGTTCCCACCCTCTCTGTTCCCACCCTCTCTCTTCCCACCCTCTCTCTTTCCACCCTCTCTCTTCCCACCCTCTCTCTTCCCACCCTCTCTGTTCCCACCCTCTCTCTTCCCACCCTCTCTCTTCCCACCCTCTCTGTTCCCACCCTCTCTGTTCCCACCCTCTCTGTTCCCACCCTCTATGTTCCCACCCTCTATGTTCCCACCCTCTCTGTTCCCACCCTCGCTGATCCCACCCTCTCTGATCCCACCTTCTCTGATCCGACCCCCTCTCATTCCTATTGAAAAACTTCGACCTCTCTGTTCTACCATCCATGCAGCCTGCTCGCCAACAACCAGCTGTCAGGCCGCCTCCCTGAACCTTCCATCACCAACCCGGCCTTTTTCACATTGTGAGTGAGGGTCATCCATGTCATCTCCGCTCTCCCATCCTCCCGTCTCCCTTCCTCCCCTCTCCATCTCTTCACTCCAAATACCTCCCTCTCCATTCTCCACCCTCGAACCCTCCAATCTCTATTCGTCCCTTAAGCATCCCCTCTCCACCCTTCTCATCCATCCTTCCTGTGAAGATTGTGGATTGAACAAGTAATTGAATTAGAGTCACAACCTAGCATACATAGTTTGGAAGAGAAGGTTGGAAGAGGAGAATGGAAGGGAAGGATCAAAGTGACCATAGGTTGGGTTGACCTTACTTTGGGAAGTGAGGGAATCATTGGTCAAGTGGGTTGGGTTGCCCACACTTTGTAGAAGTGAGGCAACCCTAGGCCCACTTGGCTTGGGGAAGCCTCAATTGTGGGAAGTGAGGTACCCACAAGTCAAGAGGGTTGCATTTGGGGGCTCCACCACAATTGGGTGGGTTGGCACCCCAAAGTGCAAGACTACACCCAAAGTTGGGTGTAGTCCCAACCCAACTGTACACCACAATTGGCGTACAGTCACATGTGTTGGCATGCTACACAATGTATTTTAACACAACCCCTTAGCATTCTAACACAAGAAGAGAACAACCCCTGAGTCAAGGGGCGCCCGGGCGAGTAAGGCCAATGAGGCGGAGGAAAGCAGAGTGCGCGGGGCGAAGGAGGGCCTTAGTGAAGATGTCGGCCAAGTTGGCCTCGGACGCAATCTTGCGAACGGCAATGAGGCCCTTCTGGACGAGGTCGCGAACGAAGAAGTAGCGGAGTTCGATGTGCTTGGAGCGGGCGTGATAGACGGGGTCCGGAGTGAGGTGGATGGTGCTGGCGTTGTCGCACCAGAGAGTGGGGCATGTCTGGGGGGCGCCAAGCTCTGCAAGAAGGAAGCAGAGCCAGCGCGACTCCTGGGCGGCCATGGTGCCGGCGTAGAGCTCTGCTTCGCAGGTGGAGAGAGAGATGGCGGAGGAGCGGGTGGAGCGCCAGCTGACGAGGCCGCTGCCAAGGGTGAAGCCGTAGCCCTGGGAGGAGCGGCGGTCCGGCTGCGAGTCGGCCCATGAAGAGTCACTGAAGCCCGAGAGAAGAGGACGGGAAGGGCTGCCGAGGGTGAGGGCAAGGTCCTTCGTCCCGCGAAGGTAGCGGAGGACCCGTTTGGCAGCTTTCCAGTGCTCCTCAGAGTGACGACCGGTGCCGACAAAGCGAGCGAGCACGCTGATGGGGTAGGCGAGGTCGGGGCGGGTGCACATCATTGCGTACATCAAGGACCCAACGAGCTCGGCATAGGGGTGGGTGGAGAAGGTGGGGGAGGTGGGTGGAGCGAGTTGGTGACCAAAGGGGAGTGGGGTGGAAACAGGCTTGGCCTGCGTCATGTCGAACTTCTCTAAGACCTGGCCGATGCAATGGGACTGGGAGAGGGTGATTGTGCGAGCAGGGCGGTTGCGGGTGATGGCCATACCGAGGTAGTTAGTGAGGGCGCCAAGGTCCTTGCACTTGAGCCGTTGCTGCAGAGACAGCTTCACCTGCTCCATGTCGGCCTTGGTGTCAGAGAGCAGGATCATGTCGTCGACATAGACCAGAATGAAGAAGCGGCGGGGGGAGGAGCGGATGAAGAGGCTGGCGTTGGAGTGGGAAGGAGAGAAGCCTAGAGACCCCAAGGTGGTAGCCAGCTTCGCATGCCACTCACGCGGTGCCTGCTTCAAGCCGTAGACAGGGCGACGCAGCTGCTAGACAGTGTTCTCAGGAAAGGCTGCGTGGAACCCGGGGGGCCGCCGGGGAAAATTCGCTCATGCAGGTCACCCTGCAGGAACGCATTGGAGACGTTCATGGAGTCGATTTCCATGTCGTCACACGCACCAATGTCCATGGCGGCGCGGAGGGTGGGTTGTTTGGCGGTGGGGGCATAGGTGAACCAGTAGTCCTCAGCCCAAGTCTGCGTGAACCCCTTGGCGCAGTAGCGGGCTTTGTACACTGGTTCCTCACCCGGCAGCTGCTTCACCCGAAAGACCCATTTGCCGTCGACGAGATTGGCGCCAGCAGGAAGAGGGACATCGACAAAAGAGTCGTTGCGAATGAATGCCTTACACTCCAGGAAGATCGCTGCCATCCATTTATCCGCATCAGGGCAGGTGATGGCTTCCTGGAAGGTGGAGGGAGTGAAGATGGTGGGGGTAGTGGTGGCGCCAAGGATGGGAAAGCCCAGGAAGTCAAGGTAGAGGGCGGCAAGGAATGGAGTGTGCTCCCGAATGTTAAGAAACTCCTCATGGGAGTCCTCAAGGAGCTGAATGGAGGCAGGAGGAGGAGCCCAAAGGATTTTGTCCACAGAGCGGGTATGGATGTAAGGGAGGAGGAAGGGGGATGAATGGGAGGTGGCTCGACGCCGCTGCTGCCGCTGGTGCTGCTGAAGCTGCTGCCCATGTAGCTGCGGCTGTGGCTTGACCATGTTGGTGCTGCGGCTGCTGGGGCTGCTGCTGCTGCTGCTGTCTCGGCTGCCGCTGCTGCTGGTGCTGCTGTCCCGGCTGCTGCTGCTGTTGCTGCTGGACTGGCTGCTGCTGCTGTTGCTGTCCCGGCTGCTGCTGCTGCTGCTGCCCCGGCCGCTGTCCCTGTTGCTGCTGCTGCTGCTACTGCTGCTGCTGCTGCTGCTGCTGCTGATCCGGCTGCTGGAAGGAGGGAGAGGGAGAGGGGGAGGGAGGGGGGGGAGGGTGTGCGGCCGAGTGAGCGGGGGAGGCGGGTGCGTCAGGGTCGTAGACATCGGCGGAGGAGGAGGGCGGGAGCGGAGCTGCGACGGGTGGGAGGAGAGGGGTTGGAGGGAGAAGGGGCGGGAGGACGGTGTCGGTCCAAGCAAGCGGACGAGTGGGAGGAGGGAGGGGATCAGGGGGAGGAGTGGAGTAATAGGGGACAGATTCGTCGAAGACGACGTCGCCGCTGCGGATGAGGCGATTGGTGAGAGGGTGGAGGAAGAGGTAGCCTGGGGAGTCGCGATTGTGACCAAGGTAAACGCATTCCAGGGCGCGAGGAGCAAGTTTGCCAGCGGCGTGGGAGCGGTCGGCGGGTGGGATAAGAACGAATGCCTTGCAGCCCCAAACGCGAAGGCCTGCAGCGTCGGGTTTGGCGTTGGACCAAAGCTCTGTAGGGGAGGAGGAAGGATGCTGAGGGTGGGAGCGGAGATTAAGGAGAAGGGCGGCGTGGAGGAGGGCATAGCTCCAGAGGGAAGGAGGGGTGGAGGCATGAGCAATGAGACAGCGAGCAATCTTGGTGATCTCACGAATGCGGCTTTCAGCAATGCCGTTCTGCTGAGGGGAGTGGGGAAGGGTGGAGGTCTTTTGGATGCCGTAGGTGGCGCAGTATGTGGCAAGGGTGTTGTTGATGAACTCACCCCCACCATCAGAGTGAAGGCGGCCGATGGGGCGTTTGAAGTGATTGCGGCACTGTTCGGCCCAGTTGATGACCAGTGCCGGCACCTGGTCTTTCGTGTGAAGGAAGAAGGTGGTGGAGTACCGGCTGTGGTCGTCAACGAGGACGAGCATGTATCGATGCCCCTGGCGGGAGCGGATGGGATAGGGGCCCCAGAGGTCCATGTGCACAAGGTCAATGGGGGCAGTGGCGAAGGTGGGATGACTGTGGTGTGGGGACTGCTTGAGCTTGCCGTGAATGCATGAAGGGCATGGGGGAGAGGGGGAGGAGGGGAGGGGAGGTAAGACGGGAGGAAGGCTGCGGAGGAGGCGAGAGGTGACTATGGTGCGAAGGGCGGTGAAGTTGGGATGGCCGTGTCTGTGGTGTAAGAGGACAGCAGGGTGGGAGAGGGCAGTGGAGGAGGAGGGAGATGGGGTACAGGAAGGAACGGGAGGGGAGGAGGAGGATGGTGGGGAGGGAGAAGAGGTTACTTGAGTGGGAGGGGAAGGGGGGAGTAAAGGAGGAGGACGCGGACCGGTGGAAGCACCGGCACGAGTGGTGACGTGGCAAAAAGATGTGCGAGGTGTGCGGAGTGTGTAAAGGCGAGTGCGGGGGCAAAGCGGAATACGGAGAAGGAAGCGACTGGAGGAGGTCTGGTAGAGATCACAGTAATTGGCATAACCGGGGTAAATGGCAGTGATACCAACACCTTGGAGCTCACGGTGGGAGAGGAGGTTGTTGCGGAGAGTGGGGATGTGGAGACCCATTGCAGAGCAAGGGAGGGTGGAAAGGTGAGTGCATGGAATGGAAAAGCTGGAATCAGCTCCATGAACCTGAGTGGGAAGTGGTAGTGGGGTGAGAGTGCCAGCATCTTTCAGTGCGGTTTCAGTGGCTCCACTGTCAAGGACAAAGTCCAGGGTGGGAGAAGAGGGAGGAGGGGGTGGGACAGGATACTGAAACGAAGTCTCATTGATAGCAGAGGGATACATGGCAGCGACAGACGGTGCAACACTGATATTACCGAGGAAACTACCAGAAGAGTCGGGAACACTTGGGGGGGGGGGAGGGGAGGGAACCCCAGCGGGGAGGAGGAGGAAGGGAGGTATGAGCGGCCATGGCCGCCGTGCCGAAGGTGAGTGGCTGCTGCTGCCAGGGTGGGGAAAGGAACTGCTGCTGCTGCTGCGGCGGTGGCTGGAAGAACTGCGGCGGCGGCGGCTGCTGGGGCTGAAGAAACTGCGGCTGCTGCTGCTGGTGGAAGTACAGGTGTTGCTGTTGCTGGTGCTGCTGGAACTGCTGCAGCTGGGAGGGTGGGGAGGGGGTAACCATGCGGAGGTGAGCACGGAGGAAAGAGGGGAGGGTTTGAATATCAACTAAGGAGGGGCGAGGTGAGACCGAGTTCCAGCGAGGAGGGGTGCCAGTGTTGCCTCGATCAAACCAGGCGTCGTCAAGTGCCTTAAAGCACGTGGTGGGAGGATGGTTGGTCTGGCCGCAAGGGATACCAGCATGGGGACCATGGCGGCGCACATATGTGCATGGGGGGAGAGTGCCAGGGCGTCCGCCTCGAGTCACAGCACCACCAGAACCGGAAGGTCCTCCACCAGGGGTGCTGCCAGCACCACCTCCACCGGCACCACGGCCACCACGGCCACCACTACCACCACCGCCACCACCACGGCCTCCACCACCACCACCGCCACCCGCTCCACGGCCCTCCGCCGCCGCCGCTGCGACCACCCTGGTTGCGCGGCTGCGTAGCGTTGAGGGAGGTGGAGGAGGAGGACTGAGGGGTGGTAAGGTTGACAACGGGGGTACGTAGCTTGACCTCCGTGTCAATGATCCACTGGACCACATCATCGAGGCCGGCCATGGGGTTGGCCTCAGTGAAGGCATGGAGGCGGGACTCGTAGTCCGGGGTGAGGTTGTAGAGGAGGCGGTGGATTTGCAGGGGCTCGGGGAGGGCAGCTTGGCGTGCCGCAAGGCGATCAGCGACCTCCTGCATGCGCCCCACATAGTCAACTGCGCCATCACAGGTGGCGAGGGTGATGGAGAAGTACTCTTGGAACAGGGCGCCGACAGAGCTGATGTCGCGACGCTCGAACATCGCCTGGAGCTCGATCCAGATGAGGGAGGCGCGCATCTCGCGAGCTTGGAAACGGCGCATAAGGGTACCAGGGAGTGCGCCAAGGAGGACGGTGCAGGCGCGGTTATCAGCAGTGGCCCATGCGATGCTCCGAGGGAGGTAGTCCGCCATGGCCGTATTGTACTCATCAAGGAGCGCCAGGCGATTGGCGTGTTCCGCTACCGCGAAGTCGTGGTTGTGTACCGCAACTTCATACTCCGCCTTGCGGATGAGGTATTCGCGGCGATCGTGGAGAAATGCGGCATCGGCGGCATCTTGGAGCGCCGGGGTAGTGGCGATTTCCAAGGTGGGTTCAGTGGGAGGAGGACCAGGAGGAATGGGGGGTGGAGGGGGTTCGCCGGGGTGAATGGGTGCTGTGGGCTGGAGGGCTTGCGGGCGGCGGAGGAGGATGTCGATGACGCAGTAAGGTCCGACGAATGCATCTTGGAGAACACGGCGGATGCTCCCGACGAAGGAATGCCAGTTGATCGCCGAGCGGTCCGCGGCAAGTTGAAGCTTGTCGACGGAGGAGGCGTCAATGGGAGGGGGGAGAGGGGGAGGAGTGGTAGCCATGAAGGGCGACGGCGGGTGGACCCGCGGCGGCCTAGAGGTGAACGGCGGCGGGTGGACCCGCGGTGGTTAAGGGGGAGGGCGACGGCGGGTGGACGAGCGCGGCAGCCGAGAGGGAGGAGGGCGGGGGGAAGGGGGAGGGGGGGTGCTGCTGCGGGGAGTGGAGGTCTGCTTCGGCTGCTGCCGCTGCTGCTGGTGCTGCCGCTGCTGCCGCTGCTGCCGCTGCTGCCGCTGCTGAGGGAGGAGGGAGGGGGGAGGGGGGGGGGGAGGGGAGGAGGGGGAGGGAGAGGAGGAATGCAGCTGGTGCCGCCACTGCCGCTGCTGCGTTGCTGCTGCTGCTGCCGCCGCTGCTGCCGCTGCTGCCGCTGCTGCTGCTGCTGCCGCTGCCGCTGCTGCCGCTGCTGCTTCGGAGGGGGAGGAGAGGAGGGAGAGGGAGAGGAGGAATGCAGCTGGTGCCGCCACTGCCTCTGCTGCCGCTGCTGCGCTGCTGCAGCTGCTGCCGCGGCTGCTGCCGCTGCTGCCGCGGCTGCTGCCGCTGCTGCCGCTGCTGCTGCTGCTGCTGGCTGCTGGCTGCTGAGGTGTCTCGGCTGCTGCTGCGTGGGAGGAGAGGGGGGGGGGGAAGAGAAAAACGGGGGGGGGGGAGTGGGAGGGAGAACGCAGGTGTAGGTGTGGGCGGGGCTGTTGCTGCCAGTGATGCCGCTGCTGAGGGATGAGGCGGCTGCTACGAGGAAGGCGCGGTGGCGGGATGCGCGGGTGGCGACGAGGAAGGCGCGGAGGTAAGATGCAGGGGAGGCGATTTTTAGGTCGCGGAGATGAGATGTGCGGGCGGCGACGAGCAGGTCACGGCAAACGGTCGCGCGGGCGGTGACTTAAGGTCGCGGCGGGAAGAAGGTTGCGGCGACGAGATGTGCAGGCGGCGACGCGAAGTCGCGGCGGCGGGTCGTGCAAGCGGCGACGAGAAGGTCGCGGCGGTGGGATGCGTAGGCGACGACGCGAAGTCGCGGCGGCGGATCGTGTAGGCGGCGACGAGCAGGTCGCGGGGGCGGGATGCGTAGGCGGCGACGGGGGGGGGGGGGTCGCGGCGATGGGGAGCGCAGGCGGCGACGCAAAGTCGCGGCGGCGGGACGGGAGGCGACGACGGGGCGTCGCGACGGCGGGAGGCGCAGGCGGCGCCGAGGAAGGCGCGGCGGCGGTAGGGGAAGGCGGCGACGAGGCGTCGCGGCGGCGGGATGCGCAGGCGGCGCCGAGGAAGGCGCGGCTGCGGTAGGGGGAGGCGGCGACGAGGCGTCGCGAAGGCGGAATGCGCAGGCGGCGCCGAGGAAGGCGCGGCGGCGGTAGGGGGGGGGGGGGGGGGGGCGGCGACGAGGCGTCGTGACAGCGGGATGCGCAGGCGGCGCCGAGGAAGGCGCGGCAGCGGTGGGGTGAGGCGGCGTCGCGACGGCGGGATGCGCAGGCGGCGCCGAGGAAGGCGCGGCGGCGGTAGGGGGGGGGGGGGGGGGCGGCGACGCGACTTCGTGGCAGTGGGAGGGGCAGGCGACGAAGGGGTGTCGTGGCGGAGGGATGCGCGGGCGACGCCGAAGTAGGCGCGGCGGCGGGAGGGAGACGGCGACGGGGGGGTCGCTGCAGGGGGAGGAGGAGGCGGCGACGAGGCGTCGCGGCGGGATGCGCAGGCGGCGCCAGAGAAGGCGCGGCGGCGGGAAAAAAAAAAAAAAAGGGGGAGTGAAGAGTGGCGACGGCGTAGGTCGTGCCACGGGGGTGCTAGGTTGAGCCACACGTAGGGGGTTTGTGGCTGTGGGGTGGGCCCATGGAAAAAAAAAAGACTTGAAGGGAGGGAAAAAAAAGGCTTAGGAACAACTAGCTCTATACCATGTGAAGATTGTGGATTGAACAAGTAATTGAATTAGAGTCACAACCTAGCATACATAGTTTGGAAGAGAAGGTTGGAAGAGGAGAATGGAAGGGAAGGATCAAAGTGACCATAGGTTGGGTTGACCTTACTTTGGGAAGTGAGGGAACCATTGGTCAAGTGGGTTGGGTTGCCCACACTTTGTAGAAGTGAGGCAACCCTAGGCCCACTTGGCTTGGGGAAGCCTCAATTGTGGGAAGTGAGGTACCCACAAGTCAAGAGGGTTGCATTTGGGGGCTCCACCACAATTGGGTGGATTGGCACCCCAAAGTGCAAGACTACACCCAAAGTTGGGTGTAGTCCCAACCCAACTGTACACCACAATTGGCGTACAGTCACATGTGTTGGCATGCTACACAATGTATTTTAACACTTCCCTCTCCACCCTTCCCTTTCCACCCTCCACTCTCCACCCCTCTTTCCCCATCCCTCCCTCACAGCAACGTGCAAAACAACAACCTCTCCGGTCCAATCACTGACTCTGTATTCCCTGTCTCACCCACTCTCTACACCGTGTGAGTCCCTCTGCTGCTTGTTTACTCTCTCCCCGTCAGTTCTCCCTTCCCATTTATTCTTTATCCCCATCAATCGTCTCCCTTATCCCGCTGCCATTCTTTTCGCATACGAACTCCCACCCACCACTCCTTGTCTTTTGAAGTCCCTATGCTCCTTGTTTTACTCTCCTCCCCGTCAGTTCTCCCTTCCCATGTAGCCTCTCACTCTATTGTCTCCCTCTCCCTTATCCCCTCCTCCCCCCCCCCCCCCCACCCCCCCCCCCATCAGACAACTCTCTGGCAACACTTTCACAGGGGCTGTCCCTATCGTGCTTGCTCACCCTCCACAGCTCCTGGCCCCCTTCCCGTGTATCTTCTCACACACTTGAATGTTCCCCTTACTTTTCCCCACCGCCCCACCCATCAGACAACTCGCTGGCAACACCTTCACATCACAGGGGTCATCATCCCTGTGGTGCTTGCCCATCCTCCACAGCCCATTGCCCCTCAGGTTCAAAATCCATGCATCCTCTCGCTCAAACGTCTCCTCTTATCACCCCCCCCCCCCCCCCCTCTCCCCCCCCGTCAGACAACTCAACGGCAACACTTTCACAGGGATCGTCCCTGTCGTTCTTTCTCATCCTCCACAGCTCCTGGCCCCCTTCCCCATGTATCTTCTCACACACTTGAACGTTTCCCTTATGATTCCCCAACCATCCCCGTTCAGACAACTCGCCGGCAACAGCTTCACAGGGAGCATCCCTGTCGTTCTTGCTCAATGCCCCAACCTCATGCACCTGTGAGTGCTCCTGTGAGTGTGACTCGTGCGCTGGCTCTCTGACTTGTGTTGATCTATGACTTGTGCATCCGTGAGTCTGTATCTCTGTCTTTTATTCTAATCCTCTACCTCTTCCGATTTCCCCCTGTCTCCATTCTGGCCCTCCTTCCTCTTTTCTCCATTCTGGCCCTCCGTCCTCTTTTCTCCCCATCAAGAACCGGAGCATAAGCAGGCAGTACGCTCTTTGCTCGAACGCAAGACCAATGATACGTTGGATTTGCTTTTGAGCATCCTTAGAAGCAACATTGCTTGAACTCCCAATCCCACTTGTGTGCCAAGTCTTCCCTCCCACCCTTCCTCCACGCCCTCCCCTTTTTCCCCAACTGTGTTTCTTCTCTACTCCTCCTCACAACAAAAAACAACAACAAAAAACAACAACAAAAAACAACAACAAAAAACAACAACAAAAAACAACAACAAAAAACAACAAAAAACAACAACAAAAAACAACAACAAAAAAACAACAACAAAAAACAACAACAAAAAACAACAAAAAACAACAAAAAACAACAACAAAAAACAACAACAAAAAACAACAACAAAAAACAACAACAAAAAACAACAACAAAAAACAACAACAAAAAACAACAACAAAAAACAACAACAAAAAACAACAACAAAAAACAACAACAAAAAACAACAACAAAAAACAACAAAAAACAACAACAAAAAACAACAACAAAAAACAACAAAAACAAACAACTTCAAAAAACAACAACAAAAAACAACAACAAAAAACAACAACAAAAAACAACAACAAAAAACAACAAAAAGCAACAACAAAAAACAACAACAACAAACAACAAAAACAAACAACAACAACAAACAACAAAAACAAACAACAAAAACAAACAACAAAAACAAACAACAAAAACAAACAACAAAAACAAACAACAGAAACAAACAACAGAAACAAACAACAGAAACAAACAACAAAAACAAACAACAAAAACAAACAACAGAAACAAACAACAAAAACAAACAACAAAAACAAACAACAAAAACAAACAACAAAAACAAACAACAAAAACAAACAACAAAAACAAACAACAAAAACAAACAACAAAAACAAACAACAAAAACAAACAACAAAAACAAACAACAAAAACAAACAACAAAAACAAACAACAAAAACAAACAACAAAAACAAACAACAAAAACAAACAACAAAAACAAACAACAAAAACAAACAACAAAAACAAACAACAAAAACAAACATCAAAAACAAACATCAAAAACAAACATCAAAAAAAAAAAAACAAAAACAAACATCAAAAAAACAAAAAAAAAACAAAAAAAAAACAAAAGAAATCGGTGCAAGGTAGCTAGGGGCTTCGTATTTCTTCTTCTTTGTTCCCACCACTCCCCCACAACAACAGGAGCATCAGCGAGGGCATGGAGTGTCCTTCACCTGCTTCTGCGTGCACTCCCTCTCTCCGCTCCCTCCTCGCCTCCTCCGCTGCTCCGCTCACCTTCTGCTCTCTCTGCCCCAACGTCTGCACGCAATGCAAGATCGGTATTGAGAGCACCCCTCCCTCCCTTTGCACCCCTTACTTTGCCCCACTCTCTTTGCCCCACTCTCTTTGCACCCCTCTCTTTGCACCACTCTCTTTGCCCCACTCTCTTTGCCCCACTCTCTTTGCACCACTCTCTTTGCCCCACTCTCTTTGCACCACTCTCTTTGCACCACTCTCTTTGCACCACTCTCTTTGCACCACTCTCTTTGCACCACTCTCTTTGCCCCACTCTCTTTGCCCCACTCTCTTTGCACCACTCTCTTTGCCCCACTCTCTTTGCACCACTCTCTTTGCCCCACTCTCTTTGCGCCATTCTTCTTTGCATGGATTTTCAATTCTAGTGACTTTCGTTAGCATCTCTTACGATAAAAAAAATCTGCATTCGCTCCTTGCCGAAAGTCAGACCGACATCATCCCCAATCGTGCTCTTCTCTCGCCCCCGCACTACTCACTCGCTCTCCCTCCTTTCCTTCCTTACCTTTTCCCCTTCCATCCTTGCAGCTTACCCTCCCCCACCCCCTCCTCCTCCCAGCCCACCCCCTCCTCCTCCCCCCTCGCCTCCTCTTCCCTCTCCTCCTCCCTCCCCTCCACCTCCCCCGCTCTTCTCGCCACCACCACAGTCACCGCCGCCACCCCCATCACCACCGTTACCCACACCACCACCATTTTCTAACGGTTAGTATATATGAGAGAAACAGACGTGCCTGTGATAGGTATGGTCTGGTATGGTATGGTATGGTACGGTACGGTACGGTACGGTACGGTACGGTACGGTACGGTACGGTACGGTATGGTATGGTATGGTATGGTATGGTATGGTATGGTATGGTATGGTATGGTATGGTATGTTATGGTATGATGTATGTTTGTATGTATGTATGATAAACGAGCAATGGGCCTGCTGACAGGTATGGTGGCACACTGCATGGTTTGAGAATTCTAAAAAACAACAACGGGTATGTATGTATGTATGTATGTATGTATGTATGTATGTATGTATGTATGTATGTATGTATGTATGTATGTATGTATGTATGTATGTATGTATGTATGTATGTATGTATGTATGTATGTATGTATGTATGTATGTATGTATGTATGTATGTATGTATGTATGTATGTATGTATGTATGTATGTATGTATGTATGTATGTATGTATGTATGTATGAGGGCAATGGACCAGTTGGGAATAGATATGGGTGCACACAGCACACAGCACACAGTGTGAAAATAGGAAACTGAACCAATGAATCCATTAGAGGATACATATGTTGGATGAGAAGCTTGGAAGGGAAAGGTTGGGTTGGCCATAGGTTGGGTTGGCCTCACTGGCCAAGTGGATTACATTTGGGGGCTCCACCACAATTGGGTGGATTGGCACCCCAATGCAAGACTACACCCAAAGTTGGGTGTAGTCCCAACCCAACTGTACACTTGGTGTACAGTCACAAGTGTTAGCATGCTAGAACATATAACTCTAACACACAGCACACAGCCCACTGCCCACTGCCCACTGCCCACTGCACAGTGCAGCCCTCCTCCACCCGAGATAGGTATGGCGGCAAACCGAAGGCCGTGTGCAAGAGAAGTAGAGTTCTGATTCCATCAAAGTAGAGTTTTTAACCCGAAAACGTGTTTGTATTCTGTTCTGTTGCTCACGAATTTCAATGCTTCCCTGCCCTCCCCTCTCCCCTGGTTTTTCCTTTCCTTCCCCCAACCATGTCTCCATGCATTTTCCTCTGCACCCAGGGTTAAAAAAACCGGGTTGAAACCGTATTTTTTAACCTTGTCTGCACTGCACCTGCGACCTTCTGATCTTCACGTCATTGTCTTTTGAGGCACCTCGAAACATGAGACGACTTTTGAGGCGCCTCAAAAGCCGTATTTTTTAACCATGTCTGCTCTGCACCTGCGACCTTTCGATCTTCACGTTATCGCACCCATTTTGTTTTCCTTTTCCCTTTCTGTTTTCTATACTCCCTTCTTTCTCCTCTATTCCCATTTGTTTCGCAGCACAAGATCCCGCTCTAGCACCCATTCCGCCTCCAATTTCCTCCCCATCACCTCCTCCCACTCCCCCTCCCTCACCTCCTTTACCCCCTCCTCGTCCCCCTCCTCCCAACCCTCGTCCCCCTCCCCGCCCCCTTCTCATCTCCCGCCGCTCCCCAGCCCCCCCTCCTCCCAGCCCTCGTGAGTAACTCCCGTACCTTCTTCGTCCCCCCCTCCTCTCATCCTCCCCTCCCCGCCCCCCTCTCCTAATCTCTTGCCGCTCACCAGCTCTCCCTCCTCCCAGCCCTCGTAAGTTCCCACCTGCTCATTCCAGGTCGTATCCCAGGTGAACTTTTTCCTCATCAGGTGGTTTGTCAGGTGATCTCTTGTAAAAACATCCGAGTATCTTCAACATTTTCTAGGCTTGCGTAATCTGGTGTGAATTTGGAGTGAACAGAAATCCTTGCGAAGTCATTTAAAAAGCAATCCTTGCGTATCCTTGTGATTCTGATTCTCTCGCTTGCTCATTTATCCCTGGCTTTCGTTGCTGATTTGTTCCCTTGATTTCCTTGCTGTTTGTGTTCCTACTGAGGTGACTTTTGAGCTGACTCAAAAGTCACAGCATTTGGAAAGCACTGCGCATGTGATCGTGTTGATGCTCTGGCTTGCTGATCTACTCCCTGGCTTTCCTTTTTGTTTGTGTTCCCTCTGCTTCATGTTTCCCTCTTGCACAGCATTCCCACCACCACCATCCCCACCACCACCATCCCCACCACCACCATTCCCACCACCAAAAGACATCGCTCCTCCTCCCAGTGCTTCAAGCCCTGCCGTTTTACCACTGCCAGCAGAAACGCCACCAACAGCAGCACCACCAGCAGCAACACCAGCATCAGCAGCACCACCATCACCACCACCACCATCCCCACCACCACCATCACCACCACCACCATCCCCACCACCACCATCCCCACCACCACCATCACCACCATCACCATCCCCACCACCACCATCCCCACCACCACCATTCCCACCACCAAAAGACATCGCTCCTCCTCCCAGTTCTTCAAGCCCTGCCGTTTTACCACTGCCAGCAGCAACAGCACCAACAGCACTAGCACCAGCAGCAGCAGCAGCACCAACAGCACTAGCACCAGCAGCAGCAGCCCCAACAGCACTAGCACCAGCAGCAGCAGCACCAACAGCACTAGCACCAGCAGCAGCAGCACCAACAGCACTAGCACCAGCAGCAGCAGCACCAACAGCACCACCAGCAGCAGCACCACCAGCAGCAGCACCAGCAGCAGCAGCAGCACCAGCACCAGCACCTGCGAGGCTAACAGCATCGTTACGAGGAGCGTCGACACTGGCAGCCCCGGCACAATCACCAACACAATCACAATCATCATCAACATTCAATTCACAGTCACAATCACAATCACAATCACCATCACCATCACCATCACCATCACCATCACAATCATTGTCACAATCACAATCACAATCACAATCACCATTACAATCACAATCACCACCATTAACAAACCGCCGCCTTTAACACCGGCAGCATAACCGTCATCAGCGCATAGGCATTAATTTATGGCCCTCGCAAATATTCCTGATGTGTGGCCCTGAGGCCGATAATCTATACATGCCGGCCTCTCGTTATCAGACCAATCTGGTCTGAATTTCTGAATTTCAGACGTGAATTTTTGTATTCATCTGTTTTCTAGGAAATTATGTCTTTCCTCATCTGAGGAGTAAGACAAAGGCTTTACGTTCGTATGATTTTCCAGACCATGTAGAAAACTTCGGCCGATTTTACAGATATCGAATACGGTTTCGTCTGAAACCGACAAATTTGCCCACTGGGCCATAGGACCACTAGGCCATATTCCCAGTAGACCAAAAGACCACAGGTACCGTAATACCCCGGATAGAAGCGCACCTGCGCCTATAATAAAACATTGTTTTTTGGGGGGGTGCGCTTATAATTGAGTCAGATTTATAAGCGCATGAGCTTGTATAAAGGGAAAAATGAAAATCAATTTTGAACACACCATTGTGAAGCTCTCAATAAGGCGAATTCAACCGACCATGCACCAAGTGGGATCGTGCATGGTTTTCAGGCAGAAACCGCAGCGGTTTACGTTCGTAAGACAAAGGCTTTACGTTCGTATGATTTTCCAGACCATGTAGAAAACTTCGGCCGATTTTACAGATATCGAATACGGTTTCGTCTGAAACCGACAAATTTGCCCACTGGGCCATAGGACCACTAGGCCATATTCCCAGTAGACCAAAAGACCACAGGTACCGTAATACCCCGGATAGAAGCGCACCTGCGCTTATAATAAAACATTGTTTTTTGGGGGGGTGCGCTTATAATTGAGTCAGATTTATAAGCGCATGAGCTTGTATAAAGGGAAAAATGAAAATCAATTTTGAACACACCATTGTGAAGCTCTCAATAAGGCGAATTCAACCGACCATGCACCAAGTGGGATCGTGCATGGTTTTCAGGCAGAAACCGCAGCGGTTCGGTTTACCACCGCACAATGTTGTCTGGAAACATAGAATGTGACAGCCGTGACGATGATGTTGTCGTGCGGCCCAATCAGAGCCGCATGCGCTGCGAGGCATGTGCATTCGGGCAGAACCATCTCGAAGGTTCGGCAAGATTCCCTGCCAGCGCAGCGTAGATGCTGCCACGCAGGCGCCTCTACGGGAGTGGGCGGGGGTTTCCTGCCTGTCATCGACGAGGAACCCGAGCCGTCACACAGCAGGGGTCACCGTCGTTGCCCATTTCTTCACCCTCTTCTCTGATTTTTTCATTCGGTTCCTTGTCAACCCCGCCTGGCAGGCGAAGCCATGGCGGAATTTAGTGGGACGAGCATCCTCTTCAAGAAAAAGCCACGCCGCACATGGCGACTTACCGAAGACGGGTGGTATACCCGTGAGCCACCAGCGCCTCCAGTGCCACCGGATCCCCCTGCACCCCCTGCTCCTCCTGCTCCCCCTGCACCCCCTGCTCCACCCGCTCCTCCCGCACCTCCCGCTCCTCTGAATCCGCCTGCTTTTGCCACGGCAGGTGCTCACCAACGGCCCGTGCTCCAACTGTATTTACCAGCCACGTTCGACGAATGGTTGGCTGAAGCGGACACACCCAAGGCCCGCGATGCACGCATCCAAGCTCCAGCGACTGCACCACGGTGGGGACAACCAGAATCCTGCGCGTGGGATGAGTCGGCTGTGGGCGCCGACGATGATGTGGCTACCGACAAACATGACAGCGGCGCCGGCGAAGCTGGAGGCGACGGTGAAGCTGGTGGCGACGGTGCAGCGGGCGACGAAGAAGACGTGTTCCCCGACCGTGACGAGGACGAGGACGGTGTGGAGTCCTAGTGGCGCGACGCACCACGCGCGAAGATGCCGGTACCGACATATCCGCCCCTTAATAAAAAACGGCCCCACCCGTCTACCGAGAATCGAGATGCCCGCCCCCCCTCCCCCAGGCACAAGCTGAATCAACATAAGCGGCAGTCCTACACCGCCCAGGAGAAGTTGAGGTGGCTCGTGCGGCTCGAGCTTGCGGCTTCGGTGAGCGAAGTGGCGCGGGAGTCAGGCATTCACCGAAAATGTCTGACAGAATGGAAAGCCCAAGCGGATGCACTCAAGGCTGCACACGGAGCACGGATGCGACTTCACGGGCGTGGGAGGTCGTCTTGGTACCGCCCCATGGAGTTAAAGGTGTACGCGCAACTCCTCGACTGGCGACGCCGCGGAGTTGCGGTTTCGGTCGGCCGGCTGCAAGAGTGGTCCAAAGAAGTGATGAAGGTTCTATACCCGGACGTCAAGTGGAAAGGCAGTCAGCGGTGGACGGAGCGGTTCCGCAGGCGGTGGAACCTCAGCGTGCGCATGAAAACAAAGGTGGCACAGAAAACACAGGAGCGTAAGTGGGTCGTTTACTGCTGATTTTGGTGGGTACCCGATTACACATGTCTCCTGTGCGTCATACTAATTTGGTTTACTGTATGTACCTTTCTCCCTGTTCTACAGACGTGGCTGAGCAATGCAATGATTTTTGGCAGTACGTACGTGACGCCCGGCACGAATACGACATTGACAACCGCTACATCATCAACGCCGACCAGACACCGCTGTGGCTAGAGATGCCGGCGACGACCACCGTGGAGTAGACGGGCGTGAGGTCGGTGCCCATTCGCAGCGGTGGGTACTGAGAAGAAATGAACGAGAATGGAATGACTATGAACGAAGTGAGTACAAATAGGAAACCCTGATTGGGTTGTACCCCTTATGGGATACCCCACTATAGCCTACAGAAACAAGTAAGCTATATGTTCTGACACACCCCCATAGGCAAAGTGGGGGAGAACAAGGGGTCACAAGACCAATCAAGCAAAGCAAAGCAAAGCTCAGGGTGGATCACAAAGTCACCACGCATTCCGAGCACAAGTTCAAAGGCCAGAAGGCCAGTTCACATGCAAGATTATATATAGAGATATACAAGAGGCAAACAAGCAAGAACAAGAGTATATATAGGCGAAGGTACAAGCAAGGTCAAGAGGAGAGCAAGTGAGGCAAGACAGGCACAAGACCCAACTGCGTGCAACAACGCTGATGATCACAAGGCGCAAGTGCCTTGGTGAAGACATCAGCAGTGTTGGCCTCAGAGGCCACGTACGCAAGTCGCAACTGTACACGCTGCTGTAGCTCACGAGCAAGAAAGTAGCGGAGAGCAATGTGCTTCGTTCTGTGCTCCAGTCGCTGCTCTCGACACAAGGCCAGCATGGCCTTGTTGTCTACGTACAGGACTGGAGGAGAACGAGGCTGCTCTCCAAGGTCGGTCAGCAGGTAGGTGAGCCAACGTAACTCCTGCGCAGCCATAGCCCCAGCGTAGATCTCAGCCTCACAACTAGAGCCGAGAACAGAAGACGAGCGGGTAGCCCGCCACGAAACAGAGCCGGAACCAAGGCTGAAGGTGTAACCCTGTGACGACCGCTGCGTAGCCTGGTCGTCAGCCCAAGAAGCGTCTGCGTGCCCAGTGAGGACCACTGGACTGCGCCCTCCAAGCACTAGCCCCATGCCCGACGTGCTGCACAAGTAGCGCAACACCCTCTTCGCTGCAGCCATGTGCTCTGGTCGGTGTCTCCCAGGAGCAACATAGCGTGCGAGAATGCTAAGAGGGTATGCAAGGTCAGGACGTGTGCAGGTCATCAGGTACATGAGGCAGCCAACAAGCTCTGCATACGGGCCACTCGACTCTACGGACTCATCCGAAGGCAGAGCTGAGAGTGAGTGGCGAGTAGGAAGAGGAGTGGCCTGAGGCGAGGAGTACGTGAAGCCGAAGCGCTGAAGGACCTGCTGCACCATGTGTGACTGAGTCAGGGTAATGGTGCGGCGCGCTCTGTCCCGGGTGATCTGCAAGCCAAGGTAGCTACGCAGTTCACCCAGGTCAGTGCACGTGTGTCTCTTCTGCAGCTCGGACTTCACGTAGGCGAGTCCAGCAGTGTCGGCTGTGGCAAAGACCAAGTCGTCGACGTACATGAGGATGTAGAACGGCGGACAGAGAGGTGTCGGTGCGCAGAAACAGCGACGGGTCGGCAGTAGACGGAGCAAACCCAAGTGCCGCGAGCGTAGTCCTCAGTGTGTCGTGCCACTCACGTGGCGCCTGGCGGAGACCGTAGACTGGACGCCGGAGACTCCACTGGGTACTAGGAGGGAAAGACCCAGTGAAGCCAGGTGGGCGACGCAGCCAGATCTCCTCGTGCAGGACTGCCCTGCAAGAAAAGCTGTGCTGAAGTCGAGAGAGTGCAGCTCGTAGTCACGGTGAGCAGCAACGTGCAGCAGAACCCGAAGAGTAGTCATCTTCGGGGTGGGGGAGAAGGTCTGAAAGTAGTCAACCCCTTGCCGCTGACTGAAGCCACGAGCCACGTAACGCGCCTTGAAGACAGGCGGTGAACCCAGCGGCCGCTTCACCCTGAAAATCCACATGCCACTGACGATGTTCGCCCCAGGAGGGGGAA